AGATTCCACAGGGCCTGAACATGCCAAGATGCATCTATGCAGAACAAACCTCTTGGAGCTCCTGCTGCTTCTGGTGCTGCAGATCCTCTCTCTGCTGAGCCAATGCCAGCTCCTATAAGCATAGGAAATAGCATCCTTGTCATCTAGCTCAGCCCCAAACCCAAAAAGAACTCCCTAAGGTCCCTTCTGCTGCCTGTGTCATTGTTTTGCAGGCTTCAAGAGCCAGGAACTGCACAGTGGTAGATTTTCCATCAAAGCCTGCCTGCATATGCTGCAGCCAGGAGTAGCTGGACTGAATATAGGATGTGAACACATCCAGGACACCCAGGACAGTCCCTCTCCCATGTAGCTGGAGCAGGTCTGCAGCTTTTAATAAATATAGTTAAACTAAACAGGGGGAGAAAGAACATTAGAAAAGGAAGGACCCCCCCTACCTCCTCACTCACTAAGGGAAGCCCCTGCCTTTCTGTTAGCTCAGGCTGGGCTGCTTAGAGCTGGTACCTTCTCCTTGTGCACCTCTTCCAGCTGCCTTTCATGTTCTTCCTTTAGGCTTTCCAGAGCAGATTTCTGTGACTCCTTCTCCACAGACAGGGCAGAGACAACCTCTTGCAACTGCTGCAGTTCCAGGTTCTTCTCCAACAGGATCTTCTCTAGAGCAGAGATCTTCACCGCCTGCTCCACTACCTGTGGTGGGCTCTGCCTGCTCAGGGCCTGGTTCTGTTCACTCAGGCCAGCCTCCTGCTTCTGAAACAGAGAGTTGTGTCACCATCACAAACCCTCTCCCCTTTCCTCTCACTCCAATGGGGCACAGGAGTGACTAGTGTCTCATTGAAAGCTATAGAACCATTCAAGGGTGGAAAAGACCCAGCATGGCTGAGCCCCTCCAGGTACCAGAGCAGGACTGTACCCTGTTCCCACTTCTTAATCACAGACTGAGCTCACCTGTCCAGCTGGAACAGAGACCTGTCCCCAGGGAGGAACTGACATGCATGACAGGTCTGCCTGAGAAGGGGGATGCTACTGGGGGATGTACCATTGGATGTCAAGTTGGTCACATAGCATTGCCTCCTCCTTCTCAAGTCCAGCTGCCTTTACAGGTGTCTGGGCCCCTCACTGCAAGGGAGGAAGCCTGTAAAAGTATCATAGAATCATAGAAATTAAGGGCTGGAAGGGACCTTGAAAGATCATTAAATTCAACCCCCTTGCTCTGGGCAAGAATACTGCTGAGATCAAATGATCCCAGCAAAGTGTCTTTTCAGTCTCCTCTTGAAGACTTCCAAGGTTGGGGACTGCACTACCTCCTTGGGAATTCTATTCCAGATTCTGGTCACCCTTACCATAAAGTTCTTTCTGAAACCATCCTCTTAACAATTTATGGCCATTGCTCCTTGTTCTCCCCTGGGGTACCCTAGAGAACAGTTTTTTCCCCATCACCTCTTGCATACTTATAGACGGCCACCAAGTCCCCCCTCAGTCTTCTCTTCCCCAGACTGAACAGTCCCAGATCCTTTAGTCTTTCCTCATAAGGTCTGTCCTCCAGGTCCTTAATCATTCTCGTGGCCTTTCTCTGGACCCTTTCAAGATTCTCCACATCTTTTTTTAAGTGCAGCACCCAGAACTGGACACAGTACTCCAGCTAGGGTCTCACTAGCACCAAGTAGAGAGGAAGTATCACTTCTTTAGCCCTGATCGCAACGCATCAGCTAATGCATCCCAGTATGCTATTAGCTCTGCTGACTACAGTGTTGCACTGGGGGCTCATATTCATTCTGTGATCAAACATAACCCTGAGGTCCCTTTCAGCTATCATGCTGGCCAGGACATCTCCTCCTAACCTATATTCATGTCACTGGTTACTTCTCCCCAGATGAAGCACTCTCCATTTATCATTATTGAGCTTCATCCAGTTAGCAGTAGCTGGAAATGAGGGGGAAGAGCCAGTCCAGTTGCTTCTGCCAGTTGCCACTTCTTCATACTGGAAGGTGAGGGGTCATTTCAGAGCCATGACTGGAACAAACCTATCACCCACTAACAGAAAAGGATCAGCCAGGAGAGAAAAGAACAAGGCACTGAAGTGGTAGGGCTGGGGATAAAGGCAACCAGACAGCAGGGAGCATGTGGGGTGCAAGAGGAGACAAGAACAGTACTGGGGGGCATGCCAGGATCAGAGGCACACTACAGAGCAAAAGAAAAACAAAGGAGTAATTGCAAAGACTACTACTCACTTAGTGCATTAAAACAGTTAAGAAAACACTAGCATGTGTGTTACTGCTCCACTACACTGCACTGCAGTGACCAGTGGGTGGTTCTGGCAATGGCCAATGAGGGCAGATGTCCACATCTCAGTTAAGAAGCATTTCACACCACCGAATGTTCGAAGGGCCCTGGAAGGCTCACTCAGTAATGGGGCTCCACCCCGGCCTTGGGAACCCAACACACATAGGTGGTGGAAGGTGGGGGGCTAACGGGGCTTAGCCCCACCGAATGCAGTGCAGCAGTAGGGCCGCAAGGCAGCCCAGCCGCAGGCTTCTGGCTGCTGCAGGAAGTGTGAGGGAGGAATTGGGGCTGGGACAGGGGTAGGCGCTACACAACCAGGGTGGAGCAAGGGATGGAGCCATGAGCGACTCCTCCAGAGGACACAGCTCTACGCGCACCCTGGGAAGGTATGGGGGGCATGTGCCTCCCGGATCTGCGCAGGACATGGTGGACTGTGGCTGTGGGCTGGGGCCAGGGCAGCACCAAGCTCTCCCTGGCACTGAGCTGGGCTTTGCTTGGGGTGGGTGACGGCAGGTGCAGCCATCCCAAAATTTGCCTTATCCCCCCACCCCGCTCCCAGTGCTGCTGGCACCCACCCTGACCATAGCACAGCCAAACCCCATCCCACCAAAAACAGTCCGGCACAACCCCGGCCCAAGCCCACAGATGCAGCCTGCCCTGCTCCGCTCCACACACAGGTCCAGGGGTACACACCCCCCATGCCCTTCTGGAGTGTGTGCAGTGGTAGGAGCATTCCTGAGACCAGGTGAAAACTGGTGACCAGACCAGGGGTGCAGAGAATGCAGTAATGACAGCAGTCCACATAAAATCAGTCCAGAACTGGTGAAGATACTCTTAGATCATTTGGATGTTTTCAAGTTGGCTGGGCCAGGCAACCTGCATCTGAGAGTGCTGAAAGAGCTGGCCAAGCTTATAACAGTGCCTCTGGAGAGGCTGTTTGAGGAGTCATGGAACTCAGGAGTGGTTTCTAATGACTGGGAGAAGATGAATGTGGTACCCATCTTTAAGAAAGGACAGAGGGATGACCCTGCCAACTACAGACTGGTCAGTCTGACTTTGGTCCTGGAGAACATCTTTGAAAAAATTGTCAAGGAGGCCATCAACCACAAGCTTGCATCTGGTGGGGTACTGAGAGGCAACCACCATGGCTTTGTACAGGGGAGGTCATACCTAACAAACCTGGTGTCCTTTTATGATCAGGTAACTAATCACCTGGACGTGGGACAGGAGATGGACATCATCTACCTAGACTTCAGCAAGGCCTTTGATACTGTTTCCCATGAAATCCTCTTGGTTAAGCCAAAGAGTACTGGCCTAGACCAGGCTACAGAGAGGTGGGTTGACAACTGGCTCAGTGGCTGATCCCAGAGAGTGGTAATTGATGGGATGGCCTCATCCTGGAAGGCTGTCTCCAGTGGTGTACCCCAGGGATCAGTGCTTGGGCCTGTGCTCTTTAACATCTTTACTAATGACCTGGATGAGGGAGTGAAAAGTGTATTACATTTGCAGATGACACCAAGCTGTGGGGACAAGTGGATACATCAGAGGACAGGTCAAGCATTAAGGAAGACCTTGACAGGCTGGATCTATGGGCTGAACAGAACCAGATGAGGTTCAACAGGGACAAATGCCAGGTCCTTCATCTGGGTAGGAAGAACCGTCACCATATCTATACAATGGGTGGTGGTCAACTGGCTGGCACTGCATCTGGAAGGGACCTGGAGGTGTCAGTTGACCAGAGGATAAATATGAGCTGCAAGTGTGATGAAGTCACCAACAGAGCAAATAGAATTGTGGCGTGCATCAGGAAATGTGTCACCAACAGATCCAGGGAGGTGCTCCTTCCCCTCTATTTGGCGCTGGTGAGACCACAGCTGGAGTACTGTGTCCAGTTCTGGGCACCGCACTTTAAGCAGGATGGGGACAAGCTTGAAAGGGTCCAGAGAAGGGCCAGTCACATGATCAAAGGCTTGGGGGAGACTTTGGGATCTGGGTTTGTTCAGCCTGAGCAAAAGAAGGTGGAGGGGTGACTTGATAGCCACTTACAAATATGTCAAGGGAGAACACCAGGATCTAGGAGAGCAACTGCTCAGAAAAGCACTCCCTGGGAGGACATGGTCCAAAGGACACAAGCCAGTCCAGGAAAAGTTTTGGCTAGACATAAGGAAAAACTTCTTTTCCATACGGGTAACTAAAATTTGGAACACACTTCCAGCAGAGGTGGTGCAGTCTCCATCCCTGGCAGTTTTTAAAAGAAGGTTGGACAAACACCTCATTGAGCTCCTTTGAGCCCAATTACCTCCTGCCCATGGCAGGGTACAGGACTTGATGATCTTACAGGTCCCTTCCAGTCCTTCTTTCTATGATTCTATGATTCTAAGCCACTCACGCCTCTGTCCTGCACCCACCCCAGCTATGCAGGTCTTGCCCCTGCCCCTGCCTCAGCCCCAGCCCCAGCCCCAGCCCCACTCCCTCCCCTCACCCCTTCCGCCAAAGGCTTATCTGCTGGGGTGACATGTGCGTGCATGTGTATGTACGTTCAGCCCCCACAAATAATTTTTCTCCCTCCACCTATGCCAACACATATTCCAGCTAGGGAGGCTCTCTGGCAGTCAGCCTCATCTCATTTTCCTTTGCACTCCAGAAATCTCCTGAGCAGAGGTAAGCAACCACTGTCCCAGTAGGCCTGCACAGGGATCAGGGGGCACCCCTGGGCCAAAGTGTATGGATACATTCTGGAAGAGGGAAGAAGGGATGACACATACAGAAGGGGATAGTTAAGCTTTGCACAGGCCACCTGCCATAACTCCTCTTACCTGCCCAATGTGGCGGACACGCCACCTAAACCTGAGATTCCTTTGCCCTCTTAAGCTTCCTGAGCTGTAATCACAGTTGCCTTGTCTCCTTCTGCAGCTCCAGTCCCTCTGCTGTTCTCTCCTCCAACTTGTTCTGAGCTGCCTTCAGGTGTTGCAGCCAAAGGAACATGCACAATTCTCACAAACAAGGTAACCAAGGTCTGAACTAGACTGAATTGTATTTCCCCCAGCTGCTATTTAGCTCACAGTGATGAGTCTGGTTCATTCCCACCAAAAAATCTTGGGTGGTGGCTATGGTATATACTCTGCCCTGGGAGAACTGTATTCCATAGCAACAGCCACTGCCTTGCAAGGGAACCCTCTCTGGTACTATGCTGGCAAAAGCTAATTATGTAAAATGTAACCTCATGGGGGCAGGAGCACGGGCCCATAACTGGTGCTCCTGGTGGCTGCCAGAAAATGCATGATGAATAATAACAATATTATGACATGATGGCTAGGCGGGTAGCTTCTGAGGAAATGGACAATGCCTTGAGGTTTACCACCCAGTCCCAAATCTCATTCACATTAGGCAGTCTAGTGCTTAGTGCCTCCTTTGACATTGGGCAGGCAGGGCTTTAGGAACCTTTGCACTGGGCAGCAACCCCTGGGTTGCTGTGAGCCCCAGGAGCTCCCCTACCTCCTGCAGCTCCTCTGTTCTGGTTCTGTCCCCTTGCTGCTTCAGCTTCTGGTGGGTCAGAGGGGACAAACTGCCCTCCAAGTGATGCACATGCATCTTCAGCTGCTCCCACTCAGGCACCACTGAGGTGACCTGTGAGGGAAACAGGCTGAGAATAAGACAGCCTGGCTCTTGAAACCCACAATGCTACTTTCAAGCCCATGGAAATCAACAGTGCACCTCTACTCCACACACTGAGGGACAGTTCCTGCATGATTCAGAGAGGAATGTGACTTGCCCTTCCCTCCGAAACCTTCCATCAGGCTCATCTTTCTTTCCTGTTACTTTCTCTCCTTTGCCTCCTGTCCCCCTTTCCAAATGCACCAAGTCCATGTGGGACCCATCTGATGCTGTGCTCCAAGCCCCCTCCTCACCTCATCTTGGAAGACTCCCAGCTGGTTACTGTGTGTGGCACAGCGATGCCATCTTTGAATGCTCAGCTCCTCTCTCTTTGGCAGCTCCCACAGGCATGAGTCAGGCTTGTGCTTGAGCAGCATCAGGTCCACCCTATGGCAGGAAGAGACCATCACCCCAAGAGCGACAGTGCAGCAGCCCTCTTAGAACCACCCACTGCATTGTCACTTCTAGGCTGAGCTTGCATGAAGACAAGTCCCAGCATGTACTGCTCCTTGGGGCTGTGCAAGGGCTGCTGGCATCAGGAGGGAGCATTACCTATGGCAGCATCTAATATTTGTACCCCATTGTAGGGTTGCCATCCACACATGTCCTGGGGCCCTTAGATATACCTAGTGTATTGCCAAACAAGATGCCCTGTATCATTGCCTGGCTTAGCTCACCCTGTTCTTTGGCCTGCTCCTGCATCCACTAACCTCACTGCATATTTGGCCAGTGGTGTCAGTGAGAACAGCATTAGCTCATATCCACAATCTCCTATTCCCTATCTACAGTTGGCCTGCCAAGGCTGCCATATGCACATCCCCCCTTCAGGTACCTGGCTTCATCTGCTTTGCTCTGAGTCTCCTTCACATGGGACTCCAGCTTCTGTGCCTCTTTCTGGCTCTTCTCCAGGGCCCCACACTGTGACTCTAGCTCTTGTACTGTGTGCTGAAAGTAGAGGGAAGAACAGGCATTGGTCAAACTAAGTGTCCATCTCCCTTGTCCTGGCAGCCTTGCCCTTTTAACTTGTTGTGCCTACTGCTACCTTTTCATCAGGAACTGAGTCCAACCAAGATTGCTTTCATCTGGGATCACACACAAGACTGGTGCTTGTAAATAAGGGAGCATGACAGGGCAAGATCCTACCCACCACAGAGCTGTCTTCCCTTACCTCCTTTGCTGACAAATTCTATCAAATGGAATACTCTTATTAACAGTCCCAGGTTAAATTTGAGGAGCCAACTGCGAGAACTTTGCTATGATGGGCCTTCTACTCTGAGCTCACTTCCTCCTTTGGTCTGGCAGGACCTAAACTGCTCTTTGCTGAAAACCGATAATTTCTGCAGCCCTAAAGGATGTAGGGAAGCATTAATGTGTGAACTTCCATGTACATTGCTTGGTCATGGCCATCAGCCACCCACTGCCACTACCAAGAAAGCATACGGCCCCAACCCTACCAGAAATACCGAAGAGTGGCCCACCTGCACCTGCTGGAGAGAAATCTCCAGAGGCCAGATCAGCTATGCAGGCAAAGGCATTGCTCTATCTGCTGCACAACACCACAGCATGTGAGCAGAGCAGAGTCTGGGGCAGGTCTGCTCTCCTCCGACAAGTGTTGCTGGTTGTGGGTGTGCCATTTGAGGGGAACAGTTTCTGGTGTTTTACACAGCTATGTTGGGAAAAGCTCTACCAAAGATGCTCAGTCTGCATGTACACACTTAAACATGCACAGCGCAGAAGTAGGGCAAAAAATTCCTGGTATTCCAGCTACATACCTGCCATTTAGGTGCACATAGGGAAGCAGAATTCCAAAGTAACTGCATTTAAATGAAATGTTGAAGGCCTGATACTGGTCTGCTGCAGACATGCTGGACTCATGGCACTGACTGGCTGGGGAGCAGGCAGCAGTGATTGTTTCTGCCCCAAATCCTCCGAAACAAGTCTGCCCACAGCAGGCTGTTTGGAAAGTACCTGTTTCTGGAGCAAGATGTCACTCTTGGACACATGGATGCATGCCTGGGGAAGGAATTCCACTGAAGGATAGCCATAATTCCAGCATTTCCTGTCTTTTGAGTGCTAACCTTTGCAACCTTATTGTTACTTTTCCCATGCAGTTTCTTTGTAGGGAATAACATCGTCATCATAATAATCCCTTGCTCTGCTAATCCCCACCAAGTTTGAATATACCACAAAGAAGTTATATGAATTGCCCAACCTAATTGGCTGGTGTAATTGCGGAGCCATTGGCACGGCTGTTTGAGGACTCCTGGTGCTCGGGCCAGGTCCCTGAAGACTGGAAAAGGGCCAATGTGGTCCCTATGTTCAAGAAGGGGAGGAAGGAAGAGCCTGGCAACTTACTGGCCTGTCAGCCTCACTTCTATCCTGGGGAAGGTCTTTGAAAAAATTATCAAGGGCCACATTTGTGAGGGCCCTGCAGGGGAAGTGATGTTGAGGAGTAACCAACACGGGTTTGTGCCAGGCCGATCCTGCCTAACTAACCTGGTCTCTTTCTATGACCAGGTAACAAAGAGCTTAGATGTGAAGGAGGAAGTTGATGTCATCTTCTTGGACTTCCAGAAGGCCTTCAACACAGTGTCCCACCCAATTCTGGTGGGCAAGCTGAGGGACTGCGGCATTGATGAATGCAGTCACATGGGTGGCAAACTGGCTCCAGGGGCGCACCCAGAGGGTGGTGGTGGACAGGTCGATGTCAACCTGGGAGGGTGTGGGCAGCGGAGTCCCCCAGGGCCCGGTCCTAGGGCCAGTGCT